GGTACCTGTGGTGGCGATGCAGTCGAAGCCCACGAAGGCGTAGAAGCAGGTCGCTGCCCCTGACAGCACTCCTGACAGCCCAAAGGGCATGAAGCCGCCCGCATCCGGCCTCCCTTTTTCCCTGGTGCCGCTGGGGACAGACGGGAGAGCCGCCATCAGACACGGCAGCGCGTGCACAGCTGTGCAGTTCAGAGCAACAGCGCTCCCCACGCCCGCCGGCCGGAGCAGAAGGGCCCCATGGCCACCCCACCCGGCAAGCTGCCCGCCAGCCCGCGGGGACCCTCTGCCTTGTTCTTGAAGATCAACCAAAATGAACCCCGTCATCACAGAGCCGGTGTGGACTCCTTCTGCCCCAAGGGGTTTCCTGGGCTAGAAACCTGCACGAGGGCACAGGGCAGCCTCGTGTTCCTCCCTGGGGGCAGCGGGTGGGCTTGAACCGCGGATCTTTCCCTTGGCAGCCCAGCCAATGACGCCCCACGACGAGGGAAGAGGAGATTACACGGTGACTTTGGAGAGGGAGCAAGGAAGGGAAGGGGAACTGACTGGTGTCACCCCCGATGAAGAAATGTCACCGCGTCCCTCCACCACGTGTGCAGAGAGACCATGGACGGCGGCGGGGGTAGGAGGCGGGCAGTGCCGGGTGGACCCACTCAGGAAAGCACAGTCAAGCTGAAAGAAAATAACACGCACCCACTTCCACGGGGGGAGCCATTCAAAATGTGGGAAAATGGAATTATCCCCCCAGCTTCTGAAAGCCCCTCGTATAAGAAGGGGCTTCCAACATTTTGTGGGAGCTGACGGTGCCCGGCTATGAAAAGATACAGTGTCTGGGGTCTTAAAGGCTTGAAGGTAAACGAGCGGCCGTGTAGCAGAGAAGCAACAAGGCGCACGTGGAAGAAGCACTCCAGCCTGTTGATGGCAGGGTGTCGACGGGATCGGAGGACCAGAAGATCAAAACCAACGATACTGGTGTGAAGGAGGGGGGTCAGAGTGAGACCCGAAGCCCATCTGTAGACAATTGGACACCCCCTCACAGAAGGGTCACAAGGAAAAGACAAGTCAGCCAGGGTGCAGCACAGCACCGAGGAAGCACACGACATTCCCGTGGTTCTTTAATGCTTCCTCCCCCCACTCACCCCGCTATCATGACCCCACTTCTACCTTGCAAACCGGGCTAGACTGGAGCATGGACACACATCGGTACAGATAAAAGCTTTTGACACACGCAAGCCAGGGCAGATCAACCCCTCTGAAATAGTAATGGAAACAGCGATACCGCGAGGGTAGGGGGAGAAAGAGAGCAGTGATGGATGTATGACAACACCCCCCCGCCCCAGGGGGACAGACAACAGAACGTTGGGTGAAGGGAGACAGCGGAGGGTGTAAGATACGGAAAGATAGTAATAATTTATCAAGGGTTCACAAGGGAAGGGGAAAAGAGGAACGGATACCAAGGGCTCAAAAAGAAAGCAAATGTTTAGAGAAATGACGATGGCAACCATGTGTACAAGTAGGCTTGGTACAGTGGGTAAATTGATTGTTGTAAGAGCTCTAAGAGCCCCCAATAAAATGATTCATATTTAAAAAACAAAAAACTTATGGGACCATTCCCTATCTCTTCATCCCATTTCTCCCGTAAGCGAGCCATGGGCGGCCCTCGGGACTGTGGTGTCCCTGGTGGTGCTGTCGAGCAACACACACACACACACACACACACACACAC